GACACTACATGTGTTGGACACAAATGTGGATCAGTTTGTGGGCATTCCATACGCCGAACCCCCGGTCGGCAAACATAGGTTCGCAAAACCCGAACCCATTTCTAAACCATTTCCCGTAAGTATTATATGAATAACTTTTTTAGTATATAATTTAAGAAAATAATTTAATAAATTTATAATATAAAGTGCATTATAAATAAATTTTAACATTTTATTTTTACAAATGCAAATCATTATTGCAGAACATAATCGACGCAACAAAGCCTAAAAACTCATGCCTATCACCGATTCAATTAAGTCCGGACTCACCCCTCAGTGAGGACTGTCTGGTGCTTAACATATGGACAACAAATACCACAGCATTAAAGCCAGTGATGTTTTGGATATATGGAGGAGGGCTTGCAGCAGGGTCAATATATCAGCCAGAGTATAATGGAAGTGCTTTGGCCACCAATGATGTGGTGGTTGTGTCCGTCAACTATAGGTTAGGACCGTTTGGTTTCCTATACGGGGATCGGGAGGACGCTCCCGGAAATGTCGGCTTTTATGACCAGTTATTAGGCATGAAATGGGTATTAATGTTTTAATCATAATATGTTTTATTTAAAAATGAAATAATATATTAATTAATGACATAATAATAGGTTAGAGAAAACATCCACTCATTTGGCGGAGATAGGGATCAGATCACTATTTTTGGTGAGAGTTCTGGCAGTGAGTCGGTGTCCGCACACATACTCTCCCCGCTATCCAAAGGCCTATTCAAGAGGGCTATTATGGAAAGCGGGGCCAATATGTATAACAAGGACAGGGATGTGGTCAACAAAACTAAGGCCTTATCTCAGGGCAAAGCAATAGCAAAACAATTGAAATGCAATGAAACCGAGGATTGGATACAATGTCTGCGAAGAGCGGACGCCAGAGATATAATCAAATATTGGGACCTTTTCGACACTTACCCAGTGTTTGGCACCGAGTTTCTGCCCATTCGCACACAACAAGCATTTAATGAGAAAAAGTTTAATACAGGTACTGTATGATAAAAAGTAAATACTTGTGTAAAGTATTTTATTAATAATGAGTGTATATTTACATTAACATTATTGTATATGCAATTAATTAGATGTTGATTTAATCGCTGGTATTACCCAAAACGAGGGCTCATCATTTATTAAGGCTGTAATTAAAGACCCTGCTCATATGACGCTCACCGACTTTAACAATGGGATAAAAGCATTTGATTTATTGGGTTATCACAACATAAATGTGACTAAAGTGACGGACTATTACTTGAAAGGTGTCAACACTAGCAGTCCGGCAGCTCTTCTCCAATCGTTTAGCGCACTCGCAGGTGATCTACCACTCGGTTGTCCGACATATCTGTTCGCCAAACGGTTCGCACAAACTGTCAAAGAGTCGCAAAGGGTTTACTTTTACGAGTTGTTGTATAAAAGCGAGTGGTTTGCCAAACAGAACAATTGTAGTGCGACCATGGGCATTTGTCACATGTCGGATATACCATTTGTGTTTGGTTTACCACTACTTGATCCACACCATTACAGTCACAACGATATCTATTACAGTAAAGTTGTGATGAAAATGTGGTCCAAATTCGCCACTTATGGGTATTTTAACTTATTTTATAATTAAGATCGTAATCAAAATGACTTTATGTATAATAAGTTTAACTACTTTACTTTACTGTATATTCGTTTTACTAAAAGTGTTTTAATAATATAAGAATTATTACATTAAAACGCAACTCTACTAAAATTAACGATATATATATGCTCATGATCATTTTAGTAATATGGACTCTGATTGGCCGCAACTGTTAAACGATGAGCCGATGGGTGCGCCCAAAGTCCACGGTTTGGATCCAAAGGACTTACGGCTAGTACTGAGTGACCCGTTTCATGAAACTTGTGATGGCGTGTGGGCCGACTACTTTCTATAGATTCAGATAAAATTTGATAAACTTGGTTATTTAATAACTTTGTTTACAAAAATACTATTATTTTAAAAATAATATTTTTGAGAATTAAAAAATACAATCAAAAATAAATATGCTACAATCTATTTCCAATGATACATAATCATTTAGTAATTTATGAGGATATGCTTTAGAATCTAAAGTTTAGATAATTAGGTTTTGTAAACAGTGATGTTACACGGTGTATTTTACTATTATTAACACCACAACACTGATTTATTGCATTATAAATACGGCTAGGACTTTAGTGCAACTTTTAGCTCTAATTATAAATCGTATTAGAATTACCTAATTGTAAAATAGTGTTCATTTAAATCAAAGGAGTAAACAAAATACACACAACTGTGCGCTTCGTAGAAGTGCTGGCATTTTGATGAGAGATGCAATCATGTGCTCATCATATCTCACATCATAGGGCATAAACGGCTCGTCATTGCATTCATTGACAATTAAATGCAATGACTCGACAAATAGCGCACAATATTATATATTTTTACTAATAATATTAATAATAAATTATTACTAACTTAATAATTTATTACGATGAAAAGTGCACCTCAAAAGCCTTAACAGTACAGTACATCTATTTTAGTACATTTATATTTATTAAATTTTTTAATGGTGTTTGAGTAACATTGATCATTTTCTAGGGTAATTATATTGCAAAACAGATTTAATATAATTGTGTGAAAATAAACCATGTTACAGCCTAGTTATCAGTGAATATATAATATTAAATGTAAAATAATGTTAAAACTCAATGAGTGTTTTATAAACTGATTATTATAATTATTGTGGTATTATTTTTTTAAAATAAAAATAAACATGTCAGATTTTGCAATAATAATAATTTTGTATTTGACATTAAATAATGTTCGCTGTATTTATGTGTCGACGAGAACAGCAGTAGTGAGGGGTCGGACACTACATGTGTTGGACACAAATGTGGATCAGTTTGTGGGCATTCCATACGCCGAACCCCCGGTCGGCAAACTTAGGTTCGCAAAACCCGAACCCATTAAATGCCAATTCTGTGTAATTATAACATTAATTAATTTAATATCATAATAAAATTTTAATAAAATAATTTATTACAAATGCAAAACATCATTACAGAAGGTAATCGACGCAACAAAGCCTAAAAACTCATGCCTACAACCAATTCAAATAAGTCCGGACTCACCCCTCAGTGAAGACTGTCTGGTGCTTAACATATGGACAACAAATACCACAGCATTAAAACCAGTGATGTTTTGGATATACGGAGGAGGGTTTAGCGTTGGTTCAATATATCAACCAGAATATAATGGCACAGCTTTGGCCACAAATGATGTGGTGGTTGTGTCCGTCAACTATAGGTTAGGAGCGTTTGGTTTCCTATACGGGGATCGGGAGGACGCGCCCGGAAATGTCGGCTTTTATGATCAGTTATTGGCTCTCAAATGGGTAGTAATTCATCGCTCGTTTTTATTAATATTAATTAATAATAAATTATATAAAGTAATGACATAATCATAGGTTAGCGAAAACATTCACTCATTTGGCGGAGATAGGGATCGGATCACTATTTTTGGTCAAAGTGCCGGCAGTCAGTCGGTGTCCGCACACATACTCTCCCCGCTATCCAAAGGCCTATTCAAGAGGGCTATTATGGAGAGCGGGTCTGTTATGGTTAATAAAAACCGGGAAATGGTTACCAAACCCGAGGCCTTATCTCAGGCCAAAGCAATTGCCGCACAATTGAAATGCAATGAAAGCGAGGATTGGATACAATGTCTGCGGAGAGCGGACGCAAAGGATATACTCAGATATTGGAACCCTTTGGCTACATTCCCGGTGTTTGGCACAAAATTTCTACCCATTAGTGCCCGACAAGCATTTAAAGCGAAAAAATTTAATACAGGTACTTTAAAAAGTAAATTTTAATTTAACATTAATTTTTGAGTTTAACACAATAACTTAATATGCTTGGGACTACGACTACCTGTATATGTACCATTGACGAAGTTTACAAGTTTAAATAGTGAACACAAGCTTAAACAGAATATAAGTTATGTTATTATTAAATAACTTAAGCATATTAAACATGTTTTATTAGTGTTGGTAAATTGGAAAACAAACAAAAAAACTCACATCCACTCACACTACTTACTTTTTAACTGTGCTAAAAATATAATTTTTAACATGGTAAATAGCTTATAATGCTAGTAATAATTAGATATAATAAAGTTAATTGAATGTTACATTGTACATTATAATGAGTATATTTAGACATTTATGTATATACAATTAATTAGATGTTGATTTAATCGCTGGTAATACCCGAAACGAGGGCACATCATTAACTAGAGGTCTGATCAAAGACCCTGATCACATGACAGTCGCTGATTTTTACAACGGAATAAAATCATTCGACGCATTGGGTTATCACAACTTGAATGTAACGAAAGTGGCGGACGATTACTTGAAAGGTGTCAACACTAGCAGTCCGGCAGCTCTACTCCAATCGTTTAGCGCATTCGCGGGTGACTTAGGACTCGTGTGTCCGACATATCTGTTCGCCAAACGGTTCGCACAAACTGTCAAAGAGTCGCAAAGGGTTTACTTTTACGAGTTGTTGTACGCAAGCGAGTGGTTCGCCAACTATAGTCAGTGCAATATATCAACCATGGGCATTTGTCACGGCATGGAAATAGCGTTTGTTTTTGGTCTACCACTGCTGTATCCCGATGTTTCCACTCCAGAAGATATATTTTACGCTAATGTTGTGATGAAATTGTGGTCAAAATTCGCCGCCTGCGGGTAAATTACCTTATTTTATAATTAACAGTTTAATCGAGATGATTATAAAAAGTTTAAATTGTATATTACTAAACTGTATATCTGTTTAACTACAATGTAGTTATTACATGCATTTTAATAATATTATAATTCTCATATTTAAAACCGCAAATGTACTTAAATTAATAATGTACCTATGATCTTTATAATTCTAGTCATATGGACTGTGATTGGCCGCAATTGTTAAGCAATGAGCCGATGGGTGCGCCCAAAGTCCACGGTTTGGACCCAAAGGATTTACGGCTCGTATTAAATGACCCGTTTCATGAAACTTGTGATGTGTTTTGGTCGGATTATTTTTTATAAAATAAATAAATGTTACTTTAAAATTATAGTTTAATTAATATTATTTAATTTAAAAAATAAGTTAAATTGTCTATTATATTACAATTTTATTATTATATAATTGGGTACAAATGAAAAGATATTTAAGCAGTAATTCAACGGATACAACGAGGAGCTAGACTTTTATATCAATTAAATATGGATATTATATACAGTGTTTTACATAATATCTAACCAGTCAAATGAAAGTGTCCCCGCGGTTTTTGTGATTACAGCTAAACTAGAAGAGCTAGATCAAATCTGTAAGAAGTAAAATGAAGGTCCACATGTCTAGTTTTTTGTATCAAAAAATTACTAAAATCACGTGACCACAACACAGAAATTATTGGGTCAAATCGATTTGCCATGTTTT